ACGACCACGAAGCCTTCCATCCCCAGCGATGAGGGATCACCTCCCCATGCCTTTCGTTGACGAGAGCAACCAAGAAGAACCGTAGTATTAAGTACTAAGTATTATGTATTAAGTACTGACCATATCGACCTCCTCACTATGAGAACAGCTGCGCCTTCTGGAACGGTACATTCATATCTGGAACGTGACGAGCAGACCAGACAGGTCGATGTGATGAATAAGTTTCAGTCGTGTCGGCCATCAGAGTTCGTCCTTATTTAAAGCCGTCTCTCCATTCTATAATAGAGTGCACATTTGATTGCAGTGAGTCGTTCCGACGCGGCACATGTCTATGTTTTATATTCGCGGATGAAATTCACTCGAGGGACGGAAAACGATGCACCAAAGCCGAGAGAAAAAATCGCGAATAGGGTCGTGGTAGGGGGCAGCGGGCGAAATTTTTTTTTTTCCACATTTCATTTTTTTCCCCCGTCATATGAGAAACACCATGGCGGAGGACATCCATCCCTTCACCTCCAAGAAGCCGATCCTCCTATCGGCCGACGGTGACCGCCTTGGAGGGGAGACCCCGCTCCCTGCAACGGTGAGATGACTTTGCCTCTCCCAAATTTACCACATTTTTTTTTTCAACTTTTGTGGTTAAGGTAGGATGAAAGTGGTTACCGTTAAAGCATTCGTCGCCAATAACCCTCTGGCACCAAAGACGCAAACGGCCACACTTCAGCTCCATGAAAAGAATTATCGGAACACAAAATAGAAAATCAGAGGGAGAAAAAATAAAACAAGAGTCGGAGTAGATTTTGCAGCATACATGATGATTCCTATGAGGTCGAAGAATGCCTAGGAAACTTCCACTGGTAAATAAGCAATTGGTCATTTGGTCGCACAAATTTCGTTCATAGAACATTAAGAGACTGATTTACCGACTGCACGCCAAGCATTTTTCGCAGATTGCAGATTTCGAACCTTCGGTTGACCCCATTCAGGCTTTGAATCAAGTTAAATGGCGTTTCTTTTCTAACTTGTTATGACAGAGTCGGTATCGATTGGGTCTACTTCAGCCCGCAATCTCAGAATTGTAAATCCCGCTTCGATGGCCATGACTCATATCCAATAGAGAGAACGAAAAAAAAGTTGAAGCAAAGGGAAGGAAACGTCAGAACGCATATTGATAATGATTTCTTCGGAATAATTTTCTTTACAACCGTCGTTAGCATCGTTTCCCCTCCGGCTGGGGAAGAGAGAATGTGAGTCTACTTGGAGCACCACGTAAAATAATTTCCTATCATTTATACTCTTACGTGAAAAGCGAATGAACCATTGAAAACGGCACTGTCATGCACGCACGCACGCACGCACAGCGTCTCGAGCTGTGGCGGTCCCCGAACGAAAGCCACGCCTTAAAACGAACGAAACAGAAGGGAGTGTTGATTGAGAACGAGGAAAAGCCTGCTAAGCATGCGAAAAAAAGCCTTTTACGCATGAGGAAAGGCTGGGGAAACACGAGGAAAACTATTTGGAAGGTGAAGGCTGCGCCGGACCTGGGTGCGACAGCCCTGGATCGGCAGGGCCGACAGTGATCTATGGAGGGGGCACGAGTCGACATCGCATCCCGGTGAGACGAATTGCCTGGGGATGCTCGATTGCTCGGGAAGACATGAGCGTCCCGCGGGCCTGATATATGAGCGTCCCGCCAGCGTGAAGCATGAGTTTCGCGCGGACGTGAAAACATGAGTGTCCCGCGGGCGCGAGAAAGGGTTCGTAATACCCCTCCGCTTGGCTTGGAGTGCAAGAAGGGAAGAAAAACGAGGTAATCAAGGAACAGTAGGATCGGCCTTGAGGAATTTTTTTTTCTCGGCCCGGTCATCCCTGAGAAGAGAGAATTGAAAGCGAATGTGGATTTTTTTTTCCACTGGGACCCCAGGCGAGGGGCCACAGGCGAGGGGTCAAAGGGCACAGAGTGAAGGATTTCGGATAATAAATAAATAAACATATATATTTAAAATAATATTCTGTGAATTTCTGCCGGAAAATATGTATTTATATCCTCATGTTCGGTCGCCATCTACACCGGAGCTCGTTGGGGAGCGGAACTTTGTTGTTATCATCATGAAAAATTGGTTGGTTGGTCATGTCGCCGACATGACCAACTGACCATCCAGGAACTTCTCTGTTCATTCGGCGAGGGAAAAAAAAGTCCAATTAAAATATATTGACAATAAAAAACCGTGGGTTCATTTTTTGATTTTCATTTTTATGCGAGTTATACCTCATTTTTTTATCGCGCTTTGCCTTCTTTCTCGTTTTAGATCGGATTGGTGGAATTCTAATTGGAAAATTGAATAAGTATGCGCATTTTCGCATATTCCTAAGTTACTCTCACTTATCGAGAAGGTTTTGTGACGTTTTAAATTAAAATATTATTTCGGTTCTAAAACATGATTCTTATATTTTAAAAGCTGCCATTCCATTCCGTCGATCAACAGGGAACGGCTCGACCATGAAACTGTCAAGAAACCGTCAAGCAGGAACGCGAATCGATGCCGAGAATTTCCTGGTGAGAAATTATCCTCCTCGCTCGCCAATCGCCTCGATCCCTCGGAGGCCCCGCGGAGCCACTCCCCCCCGCCCCGCCCCGCCCCGCCCCGCCCCGCCCCACCTCACCTGCGACCGCCCCTCCGGTCCCGTCCAGCTCCGTCGGCTGTTGCCAGTCGACCGGACGCGCTGCCTCCCATTCGACCGGACGCGTTGCTTCGCCTTCTCGCTCGTCACAGGTGAGGACATTAATACGAAAATAGCTGCAATTAAGAGTATTGATAAAATAATTGTTAACTGATGAAATAAATTATTTGTTATTTCTTCTGTTATTTAATTTGTAGCACAATTAGCGCGGGCCAAATACATTTCTAGCGTATTCCCGAAGAGCTCAGGCATTCCTCTGGCAGATCTAGCCAATATGTTTTACATTTCAATTAATTAATTTGAATTAATTGAATCAAAATATTTTTGATAATAAACTTGATAATACGTTTTTATTAAATTGAATAAATGACTGAACAACCCATTGCACATTAGTTCTTACATAACATGTCGATTCTTGCATTTCGTGTGGACCCTTGCATTACGTGTGGACCCTTGCATTTCGTGTGGACCCTTGCATTACGTGTGGACCCTTGCATTGCAAGCGATACAGTACCTGTGATCTTTCGTGACGACGGTAAAGTCGATGCTAATGTCGATGAAGGGCCTTATCGCTAGTGCTGCAAGTACCATGATGGAATTATCGCGCTCATTCGAAATGCACAGACCGACCTCGAGGCAAAAAATTACTAATTCGTTTTCAAGGAAATTAGAAATCGAGGGGCTTTCCTCGAGAGACAAAAAAACTGAGAAACTCGCCAGGTTCCCACGCTTGAGGGCAGCGTTCTTGGTACTTTCTTGGTACTAGCATTTCCGAACGGTTCCAAGATTGCTTTCTATTTGCGTGGCAATTTTCGGGACAGGTGTAACGAATTGGCAAGGCGTGGTTCGTTGAAATCTGCGCCGTTTTTCATGCATGAGGAGAATTTTAAATTAAGTTTATAACTGTTCGATCGCTAATCGGGTAAGTACTGCTAAGTACTTCCCGCACAGATTCGATTTTTTTCCTCCACTTGGTCTGTCTTCCCGCAATTAAGTGGTAATTGGTGCCCTCAGAATTGACTCGGGATTGGCCAACAATTCAAACCGTCTCTTCGAAGAATTGAACGATTAGTTTTTTAAACTCGATGAACTGGAATGTAAACGACGCAGATTTTTCGATTCCACTCGATGGATTCAGGATTTCATGAAAAAAATTTTAATATGTTTTTTATTTTTTAATGATTTTCCTTTGAGATCAGAAAACGAGAATTTGGGAAGTCGGAAATGAATTTCCTTTGCTTCGTGCATGAAATTCAAGCTTCTCTCCTTTGTCTTTTCTCAAGGAAAAAATAAGCTGGGCAAGCCCGGTCCAGCGGTGGGCCTCCTTTCAGCTAAAGAAGCCCTCATTTTTTCCACCTAATTTAGCAAAATGCCATCTCGTTCCGGTCTTCGACCATCAAAAACCGCATTTCCCATTCATATTCGTCAAACTTAGACAAACGGTGCCCATGAAACGATGACGGGACGATGGAGGGCTGCGCGCCGCTGCATCCATCCGCCACGAAGGTTGGTAGGGAACTAACAGCTCTGGTCGCTGACACGGCGCCGCGCCCAAAGCCTGGATCGTACGCGCATGCGCATTGTGGTTCACATCCTGAAGGAGGAGCGGGTACTCATGCTTTCCTTGCCGCCGTAATCATATTTCAAATCCAAAATTTGCAATAAAATTGCCAATTTTTGAGCAAATTCGCCACAAAATGAACTCACCCTATATCTTGTTCATATCTATCTGCTATCCAATTTTCGAATCTATCACCAATTTCTTTTTAGCTATCGTCGGCCAAAGTATGAGAGACAGACACACGGACACAGACACACAGACACACGGACACACAGACACACAGACACACGGACACACGGACACACAGACGGTCAGGACGGCCAAATAAGTGGTCTCTTTCAGGAAAAGGAGGCCCACTAAAGAAAGATACACCCTCCCGGAAAAAAAAAAAACCTGGGCGCTGTGACACACAGACACACGGACACACGGACACACAGACGGTCAGGACGGCCAAATAAGTGGTCTCTTTCAGGAAAAGGAGGCCCACTAAAGAAAGATACACCCTCCCGGAAAAAAAAAACCTGGGCGCTGGAAACGAGCAAGGCGCTCGTCAACACAGACCCCTCGCCCCGAGGCAGTCTGGCCTTTCTTGGCTTATCGCACTTTTCCCTACGACCGTCTCGTCTCCCTTCTTCCTAGGGTGCAAATTCAATCATAGCAGGACGGATACGTGCAGCTTTGCCACGAATGGGGTTTGGGATTCAAGCCAATTTTCCCCCATTTCACCCAACCGCTCAGCTTTTTTCTGAAGGGGGGAATGACGATCTTTCATTTCGCGGCGAACTCCGCGAACCAATCCTCGTCACGGCCGAACGGCATCGCCTCCACCAACAACTCCACCTCATTCACAGCTGCCTCCAGCCTAGTCGCGGGAACCTCCTCGGAAGATGGCCTCGAACGAAGGGATGAAGGAACTGGTGACGGTCATCAACAAGATCCACGACGCCTTCGCCTCGTCCTCCGCGACCGACCTGAACCTCCAGCTCCCCATGATCTGCGGGAACCTCCTCGGAAGATGGCCTCGAACGAAGGGATGAAGGAACTGGTGACGGTCATCAACAAGATCCACGACGCCTTCGCCTCGTCCTCCGCGACCGACTTGAACCTCCAGCTCCCCATGATCGCGGTCGTCGGCGGTCAGAGCGCGGGCAAGTCTTCCGTCCTCGAGGCCGTGGCCGGCAGGTGAGCCATCTAGACCCCATCTAGACACCATCTAGACATCATCTAGGTCCCGTCTAGAACTCATTACTTGGAATCTCAGGAATCGACTCTCTATTGCCCTCTTCTTGCAGGGAATTTCTACCGAGAGGAACCGGGATCGTCACTCGATGCCCCATCATCCTTCAAATGATTCCAAACAGAGATGGTACCGAGAGATAATTTTTCTACAGAATTGTCCTCCCTTCAAAAATATTTTATTCGTGACTGTTCAAAATGGAACGGTGCTAACGCAGGGTTACCGATGCTAATATAGGAAGCATAACAATACGGATTTGATCGAACAGGGCCTCCACACAAATAAAAAGTCTGTGTTCCCTCGTTCGAACCGAAAAGCCGAGTACGTGGAGCTCGGACATCAGCCGAGTAGGAAGTACACCGACTTGAACGAGGTGCGGCGAGAGATCGAGATGGCGACGGAGAAGGCGGTGGCGGGCCAGACCATCTCCACGACCCCTATCTCCGTGAGGATCTACTCCCCCGACGGTGAGTTTCAAGATTGCGGGTAGTTAGGTCCAGTGAGGGAGATAACTGCGGGTCGATCGGTCCGGTGAGGTGAATGATTGCAGGCCATTAAGTCCGGTGAGGTGAATAATTGCGGGCCGATTGGTCCGGTGAGGTGAGTAATTGCGGGCCGATTGGTCCGGTGAGTCGGTGAGTTTATTTGATTTTGGATCTTTTGCAGTCCTACAGATCACTCTGGTCGACCTTCCCGGCTTGATCAAGGTCCCGGTCGGGGACCAACCGGATGACATCGAGGATGTCGTGAGTCCTGTCTCTTTCTTCCGCTGGTAAAATAAGCCTCTGGGATTTGTCGGCTGTACGTTGAAAATCGTATTTTCGCGTATTTCTGGTCTATTTTTTACATGGTAGTTGTCCAGACAGAACGACCCGTCTGCGAAGTTCGAGAAATGACGTCACCGAATATAACTTCAACCTTTCAAGGAGACCATGGAATTTCCAATGCAAAACTGATGAATGTGTTGTGAAATTTCACTACAGAATATTTTCATTCCATCCCACAGAAATTTGGGTTCTCCTTTCTACTGCAGAAATACGTGGTTGTTCGTTGGCATTTTTTCTGCCTGGCTGCCAGTTTCCTTTCATTTTAAAGCGATCATTAGCGGCCAGGAAATTTAATTTGATATTAATTTGATTTATATGGTAGGGTGAGGCGAAAATTATACTAAACAAATGTACCTCTATCACCAGATCTCCTTTTTACGAGAAAAGGATATTTGCCTCCACCCTACCACCCCCCCCCCCCAACAGCCTTCCATCCTCCACCTTCCATTCCCGATCTGGTGGCCCTTGAGTTTTTCAGAGGTGAATGGTGATTTTGTCTCCTCTGCTAGATCCGTAATATGGTGCTGCGGTACATTAATCCCGAGAACACGCTGATCTTGGCCGTGACCCCTGCCGCAGAAGATTTGGCCAATTCCGACGCCCTAAAACTCGCCCGTCAAGTCGACCCTAAAGGTAAGATCGGATAGCGTGCCAATGACTGCCAATGGTCCCATGGGCAATCGGCAGATATGTTACCATGCATGGTCCCATGTGACATTTCCTCATTTTCCGTGTCCCCTTTTAATCCAGGCGAACACAGGGAATCAGTTTACGCCGGCGAATCTCTTACGCCGAATTTATGTGAAATTCCGGTTGGTTATTATTAGAGCTGGAGTTGCCTGTGATCATTATACTGTACAGTGTATCCACCTGCTATCTGCGAATGTGAAGGGACTGCGAGCCAAGGAGAAATCGAGATCGAGCTATGTATCTCTTTTACGTACTTCCTAGACGCTAAAGCAACTCTCATGCTTTGCCATCATGCTTTACATCAGAAAGCTTTCAATCAGGATGCTTTGTATTCTTTTTTTTTTGCAGGATTGAGGACGATCGGCGTCCTGACGAAGCTGGACCTGATGGATCGAGGAACGAACGCGCTGACGGTGCTGCAGAACAACCTCTACCCGCTCAAGCGAGGATACATCGGGGTGGTGAACAGGTCCCAGAAGGACATCCAGGAGGGGAAGGACCTGAGCGCCGCCAGGGAGGACGAGGAGTATTTCTTCCGGAATCATCCTGCTTATAGGTCTCAGAGGCCTTTCGTGAGGGAGGTCCATAGGAAATAGATATCGATCGATCGGGAGTTAATATAACTGGAAGATGCGTCATGATTATCTGTGGGACATAGGGCGAGGCACGTCTTGTTTCACGGACACCTTGGATAACCAGTTCTTCTTGAACTTTCATCCGATGTTCTCATTGGGGGGTTTCCGTTTTACATCATCTCTTTTAAATAGATTTAAATTGAAACGGTGCATTGTCGTTCCCTCGCCGCAAGAAGACCGTCGATTTTCGGATTCGTAGTGACCTGCTGGACCGGGTGGGAACGAGAACCCTTCAAAAGTTACTGAACCGGCAACTGGAGCAGCACATCAAGGAGAAGCTCCCGGGGATCCAAAGCAACTTGAAGCAGCGGATGACCGACCTCC